TCGGAGGCCTTCTTGGAGCTACGGGGCTGTATTGGGGGATATTGGGGTCCCCTTGGAGCTCTGTTGGGGCATCTTGGGGCCCTCTTGGGGCTCTTTGGGAGAGTCTTGGAGCCCTCATGGGGCCCTCTTGGAGCTCTCTTGGGGCCCTCTTCGGAGCTATGGAGCGACTCCTGGGGCCATCGATCAAGGAGGGGGTCATCGATTTCCTTCCCTCCTCGGGAGCCATCGAAATAGCCCTTTGGGGCCCTCTTGGGGCGAGCTTGGGCGCTCTTGGGGCAGTTTTGAGGGCCTCTTGGGCCCTTCTTGGAGCTCTCTTGGGCTATATTAGGGCCATCTTGAGGCTTCGAAAGCGCATCGGAAGCGAAAAGGCGAGAAGGCGAGGGCCTCTTGGGGACGTTTTGGGCCGTCTTGGGGCGCTCTGACGCCGTCTGGCTCCTTCGGAGGCCATCTTGGAGGCCTCCCGCGGCCGCTTTGGGGCTCTCTTGAAGTCCTCTTGGGGCGTCTTGGGGTCTCTCTTGGACCGTCTCGGGGGCCTCTTTTGGCCGGCTCGGGGCCCTCTTGGGCCTCTTGGGGCCCCCTTGAGGGCCTCTTGGGCCGTCATCGGGCCTTCTTGGAGGCTGCTCGCGCCGTCATGGCCCTCCGAGAGCCGAAAAAGGCGAGAACGCTAAAATCCTTCAAAACCATTGGAAAATCAATGGTTTTGGCCTCTGGAGGCGCTCTTGGGGGTCCTCTTGGGGCCCATTTGGGCCGTCTTGGGGGCCTCATGGGCCACACTGAAATCTTCCCGCCGCGGCAACGCAGCCTTGCTATGCCTCGCCTGCCAGAAGCCTTAATGCACAGTCAGGTGGCCGTCGCCTCCTTGCATCCTCCTCCCCCGACGAACCACCTGCTCCGCATCGCCTCCGACGCCTTCTTCGCTTGTCCCCAGCCATCGCCTTACATCGGCGAGTTCGCCGCCTGCTGTGCCCGCGCTATCGCCCGAGCCCTTGGCGACCGCACCCACGAACAAAAACAGTATGGGAAGAGAAGACGCGCAGTCCAGTCGATGGCTCTCTCGCCTTCCTTGTCGGAGCCCAGCACGTGCAGTAAGGATGCCGTTGTGGAGCCGTGCCGTTCGGCCCGCCCCAAGAACGTGCTATCGTGTACGAGTACGCAGGCGTCTGCATGGTTTCTCGAGGCCGTGTGCGTGTGCGCGTGCTTATTAGTTGATTGTCTTTACCGTGTTGTATGTGTTGCTTTTGTGATTGTGGATTGCGTGTCAGTTTGTATGTGTACCTTCTTGGCCAAGCCAAGAGTTCGCATACACCGCTCCTGGACCCAGAATGGACCCAGCTGGGACTGGCGCGGCGTATGCATCGCGCCCCCTATAGGTCATTGAGATAGGGACCGATAGGGAACACAGAACACAAAAAGCACACAAACATGGATATTCGGACGTCCGCGAGCGCTTCCTCCGCCGGCGCTGGACCCTTCCACACACCTCCTCAGTATTTCGACGTCCAGCTCCCGGCTTGCAACCATGAAGATTTCCGTGTGAGGCAGGGTCCCGTAGGGCTTTAGAAGCTCAAGCTTGGTGCGCCCTGCCCAAACGGGAACGGGCACACGAGCCTCGCCTCACGAGCCGCGCCTCGTTCGCTCGCGCTCCCCCCTGCGCACTCCTCGCGCGCTGGAACGCGGCGCCGTGCGGGGAGGGGGAGGCGGGGGGGGTGCAGAAGCTGCCCGCGGACGTCTGGAGGTTTGTGTCTATGTGCCTGTCACATGCGTTCTCTGCTGGGCTAATTTGGATTGTCGGTCGCTGCGACCGACTTTCGAAGAACGTCTTGTAGGAGCCTGACGCTGGCGTATTTCAAGCGCTTACTTACTCCAAGACCTAAGGGGCCTCAACTGCTCCGTACTCTCCGGGAGACGGGCCAGGACCCAGTCAACGCTTAACGTTTTCCCGTGTGTCTACGGAAATTTCCCTACCGACGTGCATCTTTCTACCACCCCCTGGATTAAAAAGTCCGGATCGGCACTGCAGGCCCCCTTGCATCGTCGCTCCCCGAGAGGTAAACATGTCTGGCAAGAAGTACCAAGCAGAATCGCAACTTCCAAGCAACATAACTGGGACCTGAAATTTATTTGCGAGGAAGTCCCAAGCGAAATCGCCAACTTCCGGTCGCCACTGAGAATTTCCGGTCGCCTGAAAAGCGTCCGGAAATGTTCTTGGAGGAAGTATTAGGTGGAATGCGGATTTCCAGTCGTTACCCCATTTGGCGATTATAATATTAGAAGGGGTGAGGATGGACTGGAAATGTAACCATGGCGGCCCCTGCAACATTGTACCAGGGCCCCGTGGCCTAACGGGAGCCGAACATCAAGGCTTATTCCCCGACCTCTGCGGTCCGGACTTTTCATTCCAGGGGGTTGTAGTACGTATGAACGACATTACTGGCATGATTTGTCACTTGTTAGTAAAGATGTGCGAGGAAAAAGACCTTGTCGACAGCACCATCGGGCCTTCAGAGTGTCTTTCTGGGTTGGCTTCGGGATGTAAAAGGAGTAACGACTTTGAGAGGTGAGATGGGCAGCCGGGTTGGAGCAGTTGTCATGCATCAGAATTTGAAAGGGACCGTGAGTCCGGAACGGACCGCCAATGGTCGTTCGATGTCGACCAATGAGGTTTTTATATGAGGGGGTTGTTGAGATTCTAACTTGCACGACCGCTTCTGGCAAGGTCTTGAGGAATTTCGCATCGAGCTTGTCGTGCGAACCCACCGCGGTGCAGCCGCCCCACTCCGAAAAAGAGTCCCGCTTGTGTGCGCACCATGTTCGCCCCAAGCCTCAGCGGCGCAAGACATCGAGGAATGCGTGCTGCGCACTTGGATTCAATGTCCCACCCGCTTTCTTGGGAAACAATCGTTGAGAGTCTTCGGCCGCGGCCAAAAGCAGTGACCAACCCCACCCTACCTTTGCAGACCAGCTACGTCCTTGGCGCAGGGTGCTGATCAATTGTCTCGCCCCCCCTCGTTCAGGCCAGCACGTTCGCGGAGTCCTTGACGCAAGGCAGTGAATAATTGTCGCACCTTGCAGAACGAAACACCACAGAACACGGTTGCCCATTCAGGGGGACGTCCGCGTTCCACGCTTTTGCTTCAGGCAGAGCGAACATCTTCGGGGAATCTACGGGGCGAGCCGCCGTCCCCTTGTGCCTTCGGGCCCGGTCTTCCCAGAGGGGGGCCCCATGGGAATTGCCGAGTACGGCGTTTTCAATGCGGGCCCCCACTTTGTCGCGAACCGCCGCGCGCTCTGGAAAAAGGGCCCCGCGGCGCCAGCCGTCCGATCGTATGCGGAGCCCGCCCTGTCGCGAGCTGGCGCGCGATCCAAGAACACGTTACGCGACGTCGGCCGTCTGATTGCGAAGGCCTTGCGGCCGGTGCCGCCGACCCTGAAGATGACGAAGATGAAAACGAGGGTGAGGAGGAGGAGGAGGAGGAGGTAAAGGAGGAGCAAGAGGAGGGGAGCCAGGGGGGGGAGGAGGAGGAGGAGGAGGAGGAGAAGGAGGAGGAGGAGGAGGAGGAGGAGGAGGAGGAGGCCGTCTGATTTTTCTGCGGGCCCGTTCCTGACCAGAGGTGTTTCGGGAAGGTCGAAGCCCTAAGATGCCGCTACGCTGGTCCCGGGCAGGCTGTGCTGCCCGGCCGAAGGGGACGAGGAGGAGAGAAGCAGGCAGACGACGACGAACGCCCAGGCGGGAGGCCAGGGCCAGCGGGGCGGGCGGGCAGGGCAGGCAGGAGAGGGGCCAGGCGGAGACAGTAGGCAGGGAGCAGCCTTCATTATAGCCTTCGTTGAGAGACAGCCCTGGGGAAGAGTCCTGTTATGTATTCCAGGGGGGCGCATGTACTCGATCTCTTCCCGGGAGGTGTCGCGGGGAAACCAACAATCGCGCCCTTCGTGTTTTGATGTATGTTTCGCTTGGCATCCGCTTTAATCCATAACCGCATGCCGATGATAATAAAGGGACCCCCCCCCTTCAGTGTTTAGAGTTGATTATCGTCGCCCTATACAAAATTCAATTTGGGCGGCGAGCGCTGAGGCCGAACTTCATTATCACCTCGAAACGCTATGTTGAGATAGCAACATCAAGCGATGTTGATATAGCAACATCAAGCGAAGCGATCACACTTTTTCAGGATGTGTCAAGCGAAACCAATAGTTTTGGGAGGCAGACTCAAACGAAACGAGCAATGTTTCAAGGATGTCTCAAGCGAAACCAGAAATCAGCAAGTTGTTTCTTGTTATTTATATGTTTTATTATCTTCCTTTTTATATATGTATCTATCCCCGCGCGCGCCTGAACTTTTATCTCTGGGGTTGATTATCCATGGAAAGGGGAGCACATGAGCTACCTACCCTACATGAGCACTTTAAAAAATCAATTTTCATAAAGCGTTTGTAAATTAAAATTGATAGATTTGGAACTTTCCATTTTTCCGTTCTTCTTCTCTTCTTATTATTCTCTTATTCTTCTCTTATTATTATTATTATGTTTTCCTCTTCTTATGTTATAGTTCTATCTGTCCTCACGCTCGCCTGAACTTTTTTATCCCTGGGGTTGATTATCCATGGAAAATGAAGCACATGAGCTACCCTACACTAGCACTTAAACAAATCAATTTTCATAAAGCGTTTGTAAATTAACATTGATAGATTTGGAACTTTGGATTGTTCCTTTCTTCGTCCTCTTCTTATTATCCTCTTCTTCTAGGATGTCTCAAAACGTGCTCGGCTTGGTCTCCTCTTGATCATCTCTTACTTCGAGATTCTGCTGAGGTCTGCTGGGCTACTTTTATTATCTCTCCCTGAACCCCGAACTTTATTATCCCCTAGTGTTTATTCTCACGGGCATGAGGTTACCTCCTCGTTACTTCCCATCCCTATTAACTTGTGCTGTTGGGCACCCTCGACGGGCATGTCATGTCTTCTCGAGATCGGTGCACGCGCGCCCTCTTGCATACCGAGAGGTCTCGTTCATGTCCAAGCAGATGCTGGGCGAAATGCTGTTCCCGATGGCCACTGGGCAGGGGGAGCGCGGCTGAAGCGACCGCGGTCCGTCAGACCCGAAGCTAGCAGCAAGGATGGAGTTTCGCGCGCAAGACCAAGCGGGTCATGGAGCGTGGATCAGCGCAGGGCATGCTGTCCCATGGCGTTGCCGCGCTTGCCCGTCGCATGCAGGCGGCTTTGACTCTTTCTCTCTCTCTCTCTCTCGTCGCTTGGGCGGAGGAGGGGCAGCGCACGGAACGTCCAAAGGTACGGTTCTCCAGCCCTTCGGAGGGTGGGGCTTGGGCACGCTACGGACGCATTCTGGCAGCACTCTGGCCACGTCGGCACCGCTCCGTCTTCTCGGGCGTCCACCCGATCCGTGGTGCGGCAGCGTCTGCGTGGTCGTCTCGAGGCACCCTGGGCAGAGCAGGCTAGAGGCGCGACTGGGAGGCTTCGGCTGAGGTGCCGCGCGCGTCCGCCGAGAGTCGTGCCCGAACACGCGCTGCGCGGCGGATCAGATGAGGGTGCGCGGTCTGGGGATGTTGGGGGTTGGCCCTGAGGAGGAGGACGACGGAGAAGGAGGACTAGGAGGGAGAGGGAAGAGGATGAAGAGGAGGAGGAGGAAGAGGAGGAGGAGTGAGCGGCCGGATTGAACGGGCCAGAAGTGCTGAACATACAATTTGAAAGCGGAAGATGTACGCGGCACAAGGCGTCAGAAAGAAAGAGGAGGGATGAGGAGGTGGAGGAGGAGGAGGAGGAGGGGGAGGAGGCGACCAGGGCAGATTCCCTTTTGTTTTGTGTTCCTCTGTCGGGCACATGTTGGCATGGCCGTGGGGTCTCGGGGGCCTTCCAGGGGAGCGGCTTTAGTATCTTGGAGAGATCTTGGTGGACCCAGCGGCTCCCAAGCATCCACTTGTACAAGTTGGACTGCCCTTTCTAGAAGGTTCTCCATTCGCTACGGACAGACGAAGATCATATGAGCAGCATCTCCAAACGCGAACATTTGAGCGAGCGAACGAAACAGCGCCATACGCCAAACGCGCGTGGGCAAGACAATGTGGCGAGCGTGCTGGCGACGCCAAACGCGTCATCCATTGGACAGGAACCGCGCCAAACGCGCGACAAGACAGCGACGACGCGCCAAATGTGCGCTGGAAGGACGAGGCAGTCACGAAAGATTCCACGGTCTCGAAACAAGGGCTCAGAAGTGTATGCAATTCGGCTGTCCACTCCTGTCTGGGCCGCTCCCGCTTACGCTCGCATGCCCGCATCGCAGGGAAGACGGTGTCTGGCATGAACGTTGGCTTCCGCAACACGCGATCGCTCGGATATCGGCCAATGTTCCCAAATAGTTCGTAGCTGCTGTTCAACAATTTGGAGCTGTGCGGCGCCTGTTCGCTTTTTTCCAACACAGATTTGTTGTAGACCCTGGAAATGAACGCCGGAGGTATTTGTAGCATTTGTCTTATACATTTGGCCTGGAAGTTGTCGAGCCGCTTCCTGTCGGCTTTGGTCAACCACGCCGAGCTGAGGGAATACATGACCTTGCTCAAGATCATCGCGTCGAAGATCACCAGTTTTCTTTTGACACTGATCGAAGTATGTTTCCAAACTTTACAATACCTTGAGAACTCGCCCCACGTAGCCCCCACTCTACGATTCAGCTCCCCGGGTATTCTTCCAGTGTTGCTGCTTATAGCTCTCAGGTAGGCATGACCATCGTTTGGTTATATGAGCGCTTCGTCAGGCGAGTACAACTCTATGTCGTTCTGCACATGTAACACTTGAAATTTGTCCCAATGTAATTCCATGCCAGAGTTACCTCCTGAAGTGGCGATTGCGCTCAGCAGCTCCTGCATGTGATCCTGGTGCTTGCCAGCGATCAGAATGGCGTCCGCATACAGTAAAACCGATAGATCGCCCATTTGGAATGCTGCCTTGGCTGGGTCGCTCAACGACGCGGCTGCGTCTTGTATCATCATTGTCGTCACCATTACAAACAAGAACGGGGACAAGGGGCACCCTTGCGCGATGCCAGACCTCTGCTGCCTCTCACTCGACTTCGGACCCCCATCGGCCACGCAGAAGCTCCTATTGGTATGAATGTGTTTGATAATTTCGAGAAGCCGAGCAGGGAGCCCAAACCTCTGCAACAATACTAAAATGACCTCCACATTGATTGAATCGAATGCCTTTTTCCAATCTGACGCAACGAAAGTGGTCCCTGCTTTTGTCCCGGCGCTCGCTAGTTTACTGTACCGGCGGACCACGTGGATAGCGTGTGTCGTGCCCCACCCTCGGCCGAAACCGAATTGAGTAGCAGCGAGCCAGTCTTCTGCCCAAGCGTTCTGTAGCCGCCGCAATAGCAAATTTGCACCACTTTGTGTACGCTACGCACAATAAGCTGATCGGTCTTTAATTGTCGCAGAAGTGCACTGGCCCTTTGTTGTTGCAAATCGTACTCACCAAAGAATGTCGCCAGGCGCGCGGAACCGATTCTTTCAGCCAACATGTGTTGCATAATTTTGTGAGCCACTGTAGCCCCCCAGGCGTTTGCGCCACTGCTTTCCAATATTCCGGCGGGATATCGCCGGGCCCGCCTGTTTTCGTTTTTGTCCCATTTCAGTTTTTGCACCATTTTCCCAACTTCCTGCGCAGAGAACTCCCCGTCTTTCACCGGCAATGTCGGCCCCAAAGGCTCTGTTGATGTTATCTCCGCAGGCCGTATTTTCCATTGTCCTTGCTCCGAGACTGTTGCCATAGTGTCCGCTCCTTTGTTGCTCTCCACCAACTTTTCGGATCTTCCCGGCTATGTTTTTGCAATCTCTTTCGTTTGCGTTGACACCCCTGGCAAAAGGTACGGATTGCATCCCAATGTCCATTAGCAATGTGTCATTCGGTCCAAGCGGTCTTGTCCATTTTGCATGATATTTCCGCATTCTATTTGAAAAATTAGTTTATCCTCCTGTTTGTTGTCCGCCTGTCTGGCGAGAGTCCGTTTTTCTATCAAGTCAAGTGTGCGTTGACTAATCCACGGCCTTTTCCTTTCCGCGGGAGCTGGCGGAAACACGATATTCGTATCAGAGTATATCGCTCGTAGCGTTCGGTCCCGGAGAGCTTCAGCACTTGGACGCGAATGTCGTCGAGTTTCTTCTGTGGCAAGTGTCAGCGTACATGTGACGAGATAGTGATAGTAGCAAGAGGTATCTTCCGATGGTTTCGCAGACACCATATCTGAACGAGAGTAGTATATCGACACAGCAGATGCCCCAATGCCTCCGCTGACCCTACGGCACAGCTGTTAGTTTTGAGCTCTCTCTGGGCGCATTCAGAGCATGTTATGTTGATAGTCGGCCGGCCCTCCTTCCAGATAGTTCCAATAATGGGGGGTCCTCGCTTGTTGCCGTCATAGGTTTCAATGTGGAGCGTCCCCGGCTTACCCAGCTGGTACAGGGGAGTTTTGCGCGGCGCATGGAATTATGCGAGGGATACGTCGCGGTATGTCTGACGTAGAACGTTCGCTCAAGAGCTCCAGCGACCCCAAGGGGGCCGACCACGAGTGGTTCATTGGCGTGTTCGCGCGCAGATCATGGGGATGTCTCGAGCGGCTTTCAGGAGGTAAACGTGCGTTTTTTCCTGAGTCCGATATTCTTGGCAATGTAGCATCCGCTGAAGTTGGGCACTCCAAGGGGGAGCCGACCAAGGGTGTTTGATGGGCCCGTTCGCGCCAATATTATGGGGTGTCTCGAGCGGTTCGCTTCGTTTGAGGTGCGCATGTCTTTTTTCAGAGTCCCATAATCTCCGCCATGTAGCAGGCGTGGCAGAGCCGACAAAGAGCGTGTCACGGGCCCATTCGAGCGGCTCGCTTGTTTCAGGAGGTGGACGTGTGTCTTTTCAGAGTTCGATGATCCTGGCGAAGTAGCATCCGTAGCACTTGGGAACCCCAAGGGAGAGTCGACCGAGGGTGTTTCATGGGCCCGTCCGTGCCCGTATTGTGGGGGTGTTTCGAACGGCCCGCTTGCTTTCGGAGGTGGCATCAGACCTTGGTGATCCTCGCGATGTCGGTCAAACCACCGAGAGCGTAGCCACCGCGTACGGCTTCCAATTGCACGGGGGGATAGGAGGTGGAGGAGGAAGAGAACGTGGAGGAGGAGCGGGGTCGCCAGGGCTGGAAGTTGAGAGCTCCCAAGGCTGATGGGGAGGAGGGGGAGTGCACCCCGGGTGAGTGCCGGGGTCGCCCAGGGCAACGGCACGACAGGCAAGGACAGGGGTTACAAGGGTGAGGGGAGGAGAAGAAGGGGCGGCCAGTTGGGGGGAGGTGCAGAAGATCTGCCCCGACAACGCGAACAAGATTACAGGCAGCAACGCATGGATTGACCTGTGAGCAACTTGTGCTGTTTCTTTATGACAGCAGGACGTCTTCTATGGCCACGAACCGAGTGTCTAGTATGTTTGAGTGCGGCTTGATTGGCACTGCTGATCGGTGATTTGAGCAATCCCTGGTCCTAAAGTTTCAGCAGGACGAGCCGTCCAGATGACCGGGAGCTGAAGAGCGGACCCGAATTCGAGTTCATGTCACGCGCGCATCAAGATTCGGGAGCGAAAAAGAGTGCCAATGATATGTTGGCGTTGGGAGCCCGTCCGCGTGTTGCTCGGTCGCTGTTGTCCGATAGCCCGGTGTCTTCAGCAGGAACGCGTTGGTGGGTTCCCCACGGCAGCGTGTGTCATTGGTACTGTTTCCACCCCGCAGAAGATCGGACGTCTTCCCCGTCCCTCCCCCCCTCCCCGCAGGGAGCTCTCTGGAGGATGGGCCAGCGCTCCCCAGAGCCCAGGTCTTCGGGGTGGACGCATCCCCCCCCCCCCCCCCGAGGCGCACCAGCCTATCCGTGCCGATGGCGCCAGGACTCGCTTTAGTGGGAGCGCAGTGTGCACCACTCGGGAGCAACGTGAGGACAGGCTCAGGGGGGAGCGCATCAACCCACAATGGCCCATTCATCTCCGATGGAGGCTCGATAGCCCACCCCGCCCAGGTACGTGCGGGCTCGCTATCGGGGGCCTGTCGCCGATCCGTCGGCGATGCATCGCCGATTCCAGGCCGATGATTCCCCCTTTTTGCCATTCCCTCATATCGCTCCCCCTTGACGCAGCGTGCACCGCGTCCATATTACATTCTACAGCAAAACAACGCTTCAGGGCTAAGCGTGCGGCACCCTCAGCAACCCTGCGCATCCGGGGTGTTCTACACTCGCACGGCGGGCAAGATTCTGAGGTTTGCGCCACACCGCCGGCCCCTTGGGGGCAAGGGTGAGGAGCGCGCGTGGGCGTGGATGCGTGGGAGGAACTGGAAGAGAAGGTGTAGATGAGGAGGGTGGGGAGGGGAAGGGGGGCGAGGACGAAGAGGCACATGCTTGGGAAATTTCACTTCGCGCGGCAGGCATGATCATAGAGTTGGACAACGCGGAGTTGGTCCCCCTGTTCGAGTTCGAGAGCGCGCTCCGCGAGAAGGTGCTCGTGTGCGGCCCCTCCTCCGTCGAAGCCAGCAGACGCCCTCCTTGTGTTCTTTTGTTGTGGTTGCCTTTGGCGAGAGAGTGGCGCTTTTCCCTACTCGCGTTTCGCCAGGGTGTTTTTACAGGGGTCAAAGATTCCTCCCACCAGGATCTCCACAGGGGAGGGGGGCCAGGTGGAGGCGTCTCCTAGGCCCGGCGGCGCGGCCCGGAATTTGCTGGCAGCGTTGATTATGGTGTTCTGGCTCGATGTGGTCCAGAAGTGCGACTCACTATGGCTATTTGGCTCGATGTCACTTGAGTTACTCCTTTCCTGGGGTTCGAAAGCCGTGTGTTTTCCGCCTGCTCCGATCAGTCGCCCTTCTACTGTGGCTCCAGCCCAAAAGGTGCCCCTTTCTTGTGGCTCGAATCCTATGGGTGTTACGCGTGGGGCTATAGATTGCCCCCTTCCTGTGGCTCGAATCCTGTGTGTTTACGTATGTGCCTATACATAATATAAACAAATACGCCGGGCCCCCTCCTGGGGCGTCCTCCACCTCGCTCACATCTCGTGTACGCTCCACGTACCGCGTTCCCTGGCCTCCCGGGGAGCCCCCAAAACGCCCAAGGACAGCCAAAGACGCTCCCAAGCAACCCAGGATAGCTTTCGGGCGGCCCTCCAGGCTCCCAGGAGGCCTCCAAGAGACCTCAAGAGAGCTCCGAGAGGCCTCCCGAGAGCGCCCGGAGAACCGAAAATTGTTAATTTGCTTGTTTTTTGTTGCGAGTTCAAAAGCGAAGCATTGTGAACGGTCACACAAAAACACACACAAAAAAAAAAAAAAAAAAAAAAAAAAAAAAAAAAACGTAGGTGCCTCAGAGCGCGGCGCGCGCCCACAGAGCGCTGGGCGCCGCGCGCACGTGTGTCGCAGGCGGGCATACCGAGCAGACGGATCAGGCGGGGCGCGCATGGGGGGAGCGGCAGCGACGCGCGCCCCCGCCGCCGGTTGCGATCGCAGGTGCGCAGGTAAGCGCGCGAGCCGCGACCGCGCGTGCGACCGCGGGCCTGGGTGCGGCGCAGGTGAGTCATATATCATTATTCGGGTGCGCCGCGCGTGCCCGCCTGTGGGATTATTTGTCCCTCTTGCTCTGCTGACTGGCCGCGCGGCCCTGCCCTGCCGGCTGCGCTTCGTTGTCGTCTCGTTCTTTCGGGTTCCTGGGCTCGCGTCCGCTTCCTCCCCTTGGCTCGCGCTCGCGTCCGGCCTGTGCCCCGTCCCGTTCGCTTCGCTCCTCGGCTTCTGCCCTGCGTGCTGGCCTGCCCTGTCCTGGGCCCGCTGCCCTTGCCCGGCCCTGTCCTCCTGGCTCGCTTCGTGGCTGTCGCCTTGCTCGGTTCGCGTTTTCGCGTCCGCGTGTCCCTGGCCTGCCCTCCGGTCGCTTCGCGCGTTGCGTTTGTTCGCGTCGCCCCGTCCCCGGGTCCCCGGCTGTCCTTGCTGGCTTGTGCCGCCCTGCCTCCCCTGCCTCCTGTGCCCTCGCGCGCGCGAGCCAGCCGCCGTTGCGCCGCCGCCTTTTCCTCCCCGCGCAGGTTCCGCGCCCCCTCTCCTCCTCCCTCGTCGGTTTGGCGCGGGTCGTGGCCAGGACCTTTGGGCCCTCCTCGCGGGGCCCCGCTCCTCGTGGAGGCGTTGTGGCCAGTTGCGGGGGTTCAACGGTTCCCCGCGCGCGGCTGGCCGCCTCCATCGCCGCCCGTGGTCGCGCATGGAGCCGCCGTGCAGCGGTGAGAGCGGGGCGATCCACGCCAGTGCGATTCGGCGCGCGTGGCGCGCGAGTTCGCGTTTGCTCGGCTGCTATGTTCGCATTCCTCAAGGAGGACCCTGCGGTCGGGTCCGAGTGGGAGGACGGGCAGTTCGGACCCCCGCTCGAAGTGTTGTGCGACAGTGGGTTGACGGCGCCGAAGTTTCTTGCGAACTTGTTGGTGAATGATTTGAAGTTGCCTGGGGAACTGCCCGCCCTGACGAGGGGGCCCCTGGCGCGGTCGTTGGGACGGTTCAATAGCAGCGACCAACCAAGTCTGCGCGTGCACGTGGACGTCGGCGAGGAGCTCAAGGCGACGCGCCTGGCGGACCTCGATCCCGAGCTGTGGCCAAGGACCGTGCCATCTCTGGGGGGGGGACGCGCGGTACGGGAGGCTCTCCCGGTGGGCCGTTGGCTCTCGGGTGTGTCCCAGGAGGCTCTCTTGGGGTACTCTCCCGGTGGGCCGTTGGCTCTCGCGGCGCGGTACGGGGGGCTCTCCCGGCGGGCCGTTGGCTCTCGTGCGTGTCCCAGGGGGCTCTCTTGGGTGGGTTGCCGGGCTCCGGTTCCCTTCGACACTGCATGGTCCGGAGGGCTCTCCAGGTGGGCCGCGATGCTCTTCACTGCGTGGGCCGAGGGGCTCCCCTGGGGGATTCTGGGCTCCAGTTCCCCCGCGGGGCTTGCGTGAAGTGCGATCCGGGAGGCTCTCCCGGTGGGTCGCTGGGCTCCAGCTTCCCATGTGCATTACGTGTCCGGAAGGCACTAAGGCACTTTTGGGCGGGTCCTGGTGGACCGGGACAGCAGCACGGTCCGGGAGGCTCTCCCGGCGGGCCGATGTCTCTTGGCGTAGGGGTCCCAGGCCCGTTCCCCGCTGGGCCCCCTGGGTGCGTTGGGCCTTGGCGGTCCTGGGGCGCGGCCCAAGGTGGCCCGCCCTCCTCTTTTCATCTTTTCTTTGGCTTTCCGCCCCCACAGCTTCAGCTTCAGCACTGCAGACCACAGCGCGGCAGACTAGCGCAGCAAACCGCAACAGCACGGCGAACCAGCACGGGAGACCACAGCAGCATGACAGACCATAATTGCTGACCACAACTGCACGGCAGAACCCTAGAGCACGGCAGACCACAGAAGCATGACACGCTACAAGAGCACCGCGCACCAACACAATGAACCGCCAGCAGTCACGCTGGTCGTTTTTGTTGTGGTTCCGAATGCCTTCGGGGTTTACAACAGGACGTTATGTGACAAGTTTCGTGGACAGGGCGACGTTTCCCAGATCTTGCCCGGCCAGGTTTCTCAATCATGGCAGCATCATTCGGGATATATTTTGTCGGTTGCGGGGGCACCAGGCTTGCTTGGCGGTGTCGCTTGTGGGGCAATGCGTAGTGGCAGTGCGAATTCTTTTTACTGCGCTGGCTGAGGCGTGGTAACACATGCTAGGGCTGCGCTCCATCAAAAATGGCGTCGTCTGGGACATCCTCACGGCGCCAAGACGGCCTCAGAAAGCGTCCACAGAACTGCAGGACACGCCCAGACAGCCCAAGAAGACTCCCGTGGCCCCCTAAAGGACCCCGCCAGGCCCAGAAGAGGTCCCCAGGATGCCCCAAGATAGCCCCCCACACGGCCCCAACAGCCCCCAGGGTAGCTCCAGAAGATCGCGAGGACCCCTCTTCTTCGACGTCCTTCGGGTTCCTTACCGTCCGCCTTCGTCGTCCTCCCCCTCCTCCGTTTCTCTATAACGTTTCCCTGTCGCCCCCCGAGGCCAGTTTTTAGGGCGGGCCGGGCGTTTCGTTTGAGACTTCCTCACCATGTATGATTTTGAAGCTTAAAAATTGGCAACACTTTCACAGATGGAGTGCGGGTCGTTTTCAAAATGTGGCTCTCATCTTGGCACGGCGCACATTCATTTTAACAAATTGCAAGAGCTTCACGGATTGAGGGCGGGTCGTTGTCAAAATGTGGCTCTAGCCTTAGCGCGGCGCACATTCGCTTGAACAAATGGCAAGAGTTTCGCGGGTTGATGGCGGGTGGTTTTCAAAACGTGGCTATCGTTTTAGCGCGGCGCACATTCTTTTAAATATTTGCAAGAGTTTCACGGATTGAGGGCGGGTGGTTTTCAACATGTTGTTATCGCCTTAGCGCGTCGCACATCCGTTTAAAGAAAGTGCAAGAGTTTCGCGGAATGAGGGCGGTTGCTTTTCAATATGTGGTTCTCGCTTTAGTGCGGCGCACATCCGTCTAAAACAATTGCAAGAATCTCACGGGTTCCCATCATCAACGTGTCAGAAATTGTGTTTTGACAGGATGCAGGATTATGTGGGTGCAGCAGTTACGTTGGTTCGTTGTGTTGAAGTCCCAGGAATGGTGTTATGGCACGATTCAGGATTGTCAAGACGCAACAGTCAGGTTGATCCGTGGCGTTGGAATCCCGAGAACAATGTTTTGGCATGTTTCAGGGTCTTCAAATTGTCTTCCAAAGAATCGGTTCCTTCAATGGAAATGAACCGTTGTAGGGGCCTATGAAGAGGGACCTTGGAGGGAGGGGTTATTCCAACATCGTTGATGATTATTGGGTTTATACTGGTCCTCCTCCTCCTCCTCCTCCTCCTCGTCGTTCCTCCTCGCACTCGTCCTCCTCTGTTTCTTTCTCCTTGTCCGTGTGCGTGTTTTGCTACTCGTTGTCCTGGTCCCCTCGCTGCGTTTCCCGTCATCCACGCTGTCCTCCTCGTCATCCGCCGCCTTGTCGTCGCCAATCCTCCACGAGCCCAATGGACGAAATCGGCGCTTCCCGTTGCTGTCCGAACAGATTTCTCAACAAACGGTAGTGTCGCTCGTGACATCCTCAAAAATGTTCCCCAGATGGGTGATCCGAATCAACATCGTCTTGGAATCGTTTTTGCAGGGACCCACCGTTGCCAAAAGAGTCCCAAAAGGCTCCCCGGAGCACCCCCCAGAGGACACGCAGAGGGCCCCAAAAGACATTCAAGAGAGCCCCAGGAGGCACCCAGACGGCCCAAGGCAGCCCAAGATGTCGCCAACACGGCCGAAGAGAGCCCCCACAATACCTTCGGACACGCCCAGACAGCCCAAGAAGACCAGTGAGGACCCCGACAGGCCCACAAGAGACCCCAGGATGCCCCAAGATAGCCCCAGACGGCCCCAACAGCCCCCAGTGTAGTCCGAAAAGATCACGGGGACCCCCTTCTTCGGCGTCCTTTTCCTCGGGCTCCGTACCGTCATCCTTCGTCGTCGTCGC